TGGTGGTGATAGGGAGTACAGGGTTGTTGGGGGACGAATTACTCGACATGTCACTAGTACGTATACTAGAAGGTAGGACAACATCAGGCTTGGTATTTTGAATGTGAATAGGTGGTCACGTTTTAACTCTTCTGATAATTTTTTAATTCGTGAGACAGTGCTTAAGTTTCTTAAAGTGGATATATTATGTGTATGTGAAACATTTTTAAAAGGAAACGATAAATTAAATATTCCCGGTTTTGATTGGTTTGGTCGAAACAGGACAGATGTGCATAGAAACGCGAAGAGAGGTTCAGGAGGGGTTGGAATATTGGTGAATTCTGAGATACTTGGACTATATGATGCTACTGTATTGGATGATTCTAAAGAAGACATTTTGTGGTTAAAACTATCGCATAAAACTCTTCGTAATAGTGACCTGTGTATTTGTGCCTGTTACGTTCCGCCTTCGAACTCTACTCGAGCAGGGGACGTAGACACTTTTTTTAATGATCTATTGCAACAAGTTTACTGTTTTCAAAATGAAGGAATACTATATATGGCGGGTGATTTTAATGCACGATGTGGTGACGAACAGGATTTTATTGCTGGGATGGATGATATACCAGGCAGAGACATAATTGATACTACAAGTAACCTTTATGGAGATAAACTTATTGACTTTTTGACAAGCTGAAATTTATGTATGCTAAATGGGAGAGTATATGGTGAGCATGGTTCCAATAATTTTACGTGTGTGTCTAAACGAGGAAAATCTGTGGTTGATTATGCTATTACAACTCATGAACAATTATCAAACTGTAAATCGTTGTAATGTTATGCTAATATTCATTTGAGAGAATCGATACAAGTGAAATTATGATCAAATTGAAATAATACAAATTAATTGTTGTCATGTGTGAACTCATTTAGACCAAGTTCAAGAGTTCAATATGTTGATAAAAAACTATTAAAAAAGTAAATGTAATGGTTGTAACATATTGGATAGAATTAATTCCTTTTGATCGTGGTCATTCAATATTTTATATATATGATTGACCACCAAGATAATTCAACACTTGTTTCATTAAAAATATTAATTGGTTTTCTCAAATGAGTATAAATATGAGTGGAATAATAGAGTTCGAGAGTTCCAGTATTTTCCATCGTACATCTCGTATGTGTATTTAACTAACTAGTTAAATAGATTGAATAAAATAGTTGTTAATTATAAAGTCTTAATATATACGGGCGCTAGAGTGGAGCCAAAGACCAGGATTTTTTTGTTCACTAACAAGAAAACCTTACAAAGCGGTCGTCTACAATACACAACGTGAAGTCAATGCCGTATTGCCACCAACTATTGAAGTCCACTATAATTGAATCAACTACTGAAGTCAACCACCTGTTGAAGACAACACCAGCCTAGAACTAAGGAAAAACTCCACAGACAAACCTACGTTACCAACCAGTAAGTACCTCTTTAGTAGCCTTTTCGTTCCTAACACGTTTGACCAATACTTAATAAAATTAAGATATTAAGATACATTATACTTGTTTTTAAGGTTAAATTATTCTCTCTCTCATCACCTAATTAAGTTCCCCTTAACTCGTTTACTTTCAAAATGCCTGGTAGTGAAGTTGTACCCGTCGAAATATTAGCTGAGAATTTTTACAAACTCCAGTTAGAGCTTCGTGCCCAGTCCCTTCCAAATTATTTGAGACCTTTTTCCGGCGAGGGAAATCATAAATTTTCGGACTGGATACGAGACCTTGAACGTGTAGGTTTGCTTTGTCAAGCTGATGATGAACGACTACGTAATTTTTGTCTTATGTCGGTTACTGGCCCAGCCGCTAATTATGTTATACGCTACATCAAAAGCAACCCTACTTGTTCTTGGCGCCACAGGTCATTCTTAAAGATGTTTTCATGGACGGGCTGCGAGAGCATTTTATTATTCGCAAGTTAATTCGCGACAAACCTTTGACGCTAGAGGACGCAGTCAAGTCGGCTCTAGTCGAGCAACAAACGGCTCGTACCTATAATTTGTTACGGACCGAGCGCACTGAGGAACCAATGGAAGTAGACACCATTGCGCAAGTCAATCATCTTAGCAATAAAGTAGATAAGCTTATTGCTGATATTCATAGAATGCCGAATCATTCACCATCCAGTTCTCGCAATTCACGTCCCCCATCGAACCAACGGCCTAATCCAATACCTCACCGGTCACGCCCCAATGATCCGCCGCGCTCTCATGATTATTCTCGTTCTTATCATAAACCAATGACTCATAACCAGTTTCACGGTCGTTCGGATTTGCATCATTCCCGCGCGTATCTTCAAGGTTATTATCGTTCACACACACCACGGTCTTTTCAAAATACACCGCGGTCTAATCAGTATCAGTTTACACAAGACGGCAGGCCCATTTGTTTTAATTGCCACACGCCCGGACATACGCGCCACGCTTGTCGAAAACAAGCCCATTCAAAAAACCGGTAGCCCCCAGGTGTGTTGAAAAAGGTTCTGATCACCTGGGTCAACAAACTTTTGTCCATAATATCGACAATTCTAAACACAATTCAACTAATTCTTATGTCCTTGTCTATATTTCTGATGTTTATACACATTCACTTCTTGACAGTGGTTCGGAAATATCTCTAATAGATTTGAAATTTTTTCAGCGATTGCCAGAAACTCATATTTCACATTATACAACTGATCAATCACAGTTACACCGTTTAGTTGGCGTCACAGGCAATCCGCTCAACGTTCACGGTAAAGCTGTTATCACGTTTAAGTTGGCTAAACGATCTATTCAATTTGCTTTTAATATTGTTGACCGTCTAGGCAAAAATCTTATAATCGGTAGCGATTTCTTTAAATCATTTGGTTCTGACAATCGAAATATATGTGAAGCTTATTCCAGTTTTGTAGATATTATCGAAATTGAACTGAAGCAACGAGTGCCACAACTAAAGACATCATCGTGTTCATCAAGAAAGGGGAAAAGCTTACACAAACCTCACTGGAATGACGAACTTTCAAAACTATGGAAATCAGTCTGTGACAAGGAAAAGGCTTGGATCAAGTGTAACGAACACTGTTCTAAAAGAAAACTGCACAAGGAATTCTGTGATGTAAGAGACATTTTTGATAAAACAAACCGTAGGTTTAAGAGACTGCATCAATCACATGAACAGGATCGATTACTGAACCTTTACGAATCAGCCAATAAACAAGATTTTTGGAAACAATTTGGAAAAATTGGAATCGCTAATGACCGGAAAAGTTCAATACCAATGAAAGAAGAAACGGACAGTGGATTCTCGAGTGACCCGGGAGATGTATTACAGCGTTGGAAACATACTTTCATAATTTATTGAACAATCCCTTAAGTAGTGAATTCGATGACATACATTTAGATTTTATCAAAACCGGAAGTCACACATTCCCGAGTGTAAACTGTGATTCACTAAACCGCGATATAACTGAAGAGGAAGTGCTCAAGTCAGTGTACAAGACTAAGTTAGGGAAAGCAGCCGGAATTGACTCTATCATTAGTGAGTGTATACGTAACGATACTTGTGTAAAACTGCTATATAAGATCATAAACTTATGTTTCCAAACCGGAGAAGTTCCTAAAATGTGGTTAAAAGGTATTATCACACCTATCCCCAAGACTGACGGTGGTAACAAATGGGACCCCCTGTCGTATAGAGGAATTACCCTTTTATCAGTCGCGTGTAAAGTGTATGCAACTATACTTAACTCAAGACTGTCAGAATGGCTGGAAGATAAGGGAACTTTAGCACAAGAACAAAATGGATTTCGTAAAGGCAAAAACTGTATTGACCATCTTTATATATTGAACAATATTATTAGAAACGGGAAGTCATCCAAACAGCAAACTTTTGCCTGTTTTGTGGACGTAAAAAAAGCCTTTGACACTTTAAACAGGGACTGTTTGATGTTTAAACTGAACTCTGGGACTGTTTGATGTTTAAACTGAACTGTATAGGTGTGAGTGGTAGATTTTTGCATAGTATCTCGTCTTTGTACAATAACGTTTCATGCTCTGTTATGGTAAATAGTACATTAACTGAGTGGTTCCCAGTTACTTAAGGGGTTAAACAGGGTTGTGTATTGTCACCAACATTATTTTCAATATATGTTAACGATCTAGTTAAAGATTTAAATGAAGCTAACTGTGGAATTGATATGGATGGCACATTAATTTCGGTATTGCTATATGCTGACGATATTGTTCTTCTGGCCCCAGATGAACAAAAACTACAAATTCTATTGAATACCCTAAATAATTGGTGTAATAAATGGAGGTTAGTCGTGAATGAGTCTAAAACAAAAATTGTACATTTTAGAAACCCTGGTATAGTTAGAAGCAACTTTAAGTTCCATAGTGGTGAAATAAATGTTAAATACGCAGATGCATATAAATACCTAGGCCTGTGGGTGAACGAATTCTGTGACTATTCATACAGCGCTAAAGAGTTATCAAAATCGGCTAATAGGGCTTTGGCTGTGATTAAAACTAAATCGATACAGTTTGGTGGATTTAGCTACGATGTTTACACAAAATTATATGACTCGCTTGTCAGGCCTGTATTTACTTATGCAACTGGTATTTGGGGTATTAATACACATAACTGTATTAATGCGCTGCATAGTAACGCATGCAAATTCTTCCTTGGTTTGAGCAAAAGAAGTAGTAATTTGGCAGCAATGGGGGACATGGGATGGCTGAAGGGTGATAATTTAGTTAAGATTGAATTGTTTAGATATTGGAATAGACTTAAACTCAACGATAATATTCTTTGTAAAACTGTACATAAATGGGCCAGTAGACGTCTTCCTGGGATCACCGAGTATTAAGTATCGGTCGAGAACTACATGTATTAAATGATCAAAGTGACACTATGTATTGATGATGTGTGGGATAGTCTATGGGAAAGGGAAGTGGGTCAGTGGTCAAGGGATGTATGGAATGACCTCACACATGTTAATGGAAACAAACTCCGGTCATACCGCATGTACAAAACTGAATTCGGAACAGAACCGTATGTCAAAATTATTAAAAATAGAGCTCACAGACGCGTGTTGTCCAAACTTAGAGCGGGTTCACTCCCTTTGAGAATTGAAACTGGAAGATTTGTTAATCTTAAGGAGTTATAGATGTCAGTTTTTGCTGTATATATACTTGTTGTTCTGCGCTCGATCATTTTATTGCAGGGCGTTCGTAAAACGAACGTCCTGCATTGTTTTCTAACTGTTTATTGCAGGGCGTTCGCTTACGAACTTTACGTATTTTTTTTTTTTTTTTTTTCGTCCACGGCAGGCCGGTTTTCTCGGAAACGGCAACAGGTACGGGAAAACGGGCTTCGTGGCGTTTCGTAACTCGTGGCTAATCCCAGCTTAAATGTAAAACGAAAATTTTTTGAGCAACATTACGCAAAATTGCAACAAACGGAAAATGGACTCTAGAGGGCGTGTTTATCAACCGATTTTGATCGGGTTTTCTGCATCGTATTTCTTGTAACAAAGAACAAATGATAGCAGTTGAAAATATTCGATTTTCGAAAATTCGTTCAATACTTTTTTTTTGCCGTAATTAAGCAGAAAATACTATTTCGGTTGTAGTTTGGTGGATTGACTTGAAACTCACATGGTGTAGACTGCCAGCATAGCGGAATAAAAGCACACATTCAAAAAAATTTTATCACTTCCGGTTTCGATGTTAGTACTTCCGGTGGTATCACTTCCGGTGAAATTGAGTTATGTCCAAAATAAAATATGCATTATATTACCAGCCTTAATACAAACTTATTTAACTAAAAAAAATCGCACCGGAAGTAACATGTAGGGCCGCCATTTTGGTTTGCCTCATTTTCCAGAAATTGCTATTCAGAGGCCATTTATCATCCGATTTGCATAACTTTTGTGTCATACGATACGTTTAATGTCTGTCTACAAAAAATGCGAAGCATAATTTTGATTTTCGGTTTTGCCTTTTTTGTACGACCTGATGTTTTTTTCCAAGTTTGAAGGCTTATAATTCAACAACTTCTGATTTTATAGGGGTCTAAATATGGTCAAAATGGCATTTTTGCAGTGCTGTATCTCAAACCCTAATTGATTTAGCGCCATACCACTTTCAGATTATTAATGCACTTAATAAATGGTTTCAATTCATGTGGTATTTGATGATGTCAGAGTCACATTAAAGGAAATGTTGCAATTTCCTTAAATCTTTAAATGCGTTTATCAAAGGAACTTGGCCTCGGATGACGTTGATATTTACATTAATGTTTACTATTGACTTCAGCTTTTACATGATGCTAATATTTTTTGTGTCCGACACGTGGTTTCGGTTTTATGGGTGTCACGGAAAGTTGATTCTGCATCTTTAAAGCGCCCTCACATGTGCCCTAATAGAGGTAGAGAAATAATTCTGCCGGATTCAAAATGCTGAGCTCCTGCGCTTTCCAATGATATATAACATGCATGCCTTACATGCAAATTCAAAACCCCATTCACTTAACATGGGACTATTATTAGATAAATCGGCTAATTAGATTAACCTGGCTGTCAATCCCAATATAAATCAAAGTTTAAGTAGTTTTAAAGACACCCTCCCTTTTATATTTCTTTAAAATGTTTTGTGTCCATTTAAGCTATATAAATAGGTTCTAGGATGGATTGAACGGCGTTATACTGTAAGTTAAGCTTACGGAAGCACATTAAAGGCATACCCCCACTTAATTTCCCAACTTTCTTATTTTTTATCCAAATTTCACCAAACTTGGTATGTATGTGTATAATCCAATTCTAAATTTGATGGAAATATTAATTTTTGTTGTGCGCATGCGCATTACCAACTTTCTTATTTCTTGTCCGAATGTCATCAAAATTGGTACGTATGTGTATAATCCAATTCTAAATTTGATGGAAATATTGAATTTTTGTTGTGCGCATGCGCATTACCAACTTTCTTATTTCTTATCCGAATTTCTCCAAACTTGATATGTATGTGTACAATCCAATGCTAAATTTGATGGAAATATTGAATTTTTGTTGTGCGCATGCGCATTACAAACTTTCTTACTTCTTATCCGAGAATTTTTGTTGTGCGCATGCGCATTACCAACTTTCTTATTTCTTATTCGAATTTCACCAAACTTGGTATGTATGTGTATAATCCAATTCTAAATTTGATGGAAATTTTTATTTTTGTTGTGCGCATGCGCATTACCGACTTCCTTATTTTTTATCCGAATTTCACCAAACTTGGTATGTATGTGTTTAATTCAATTCTAAATTTGATGGAAATATTGAATTTTTGTTGAGCGCATGCAAATTACCAACTTTCTTATTTCTTATCCGGATTTCATCAAACTTATTCTTTATTAATTGACAAATATTCTTTTATTCCTAGTAAATATACTTTAAACTCCAGGCACTTTTGAATATTTGCATTTAGAGATGCAGAAAGGTATTTACATAAAGTAATTGCAATAGACTATCTTCGTATGTACCTGAATGTCGTAACCGCCCTGCATCAGTACTGTTATTAGAACTGTTTATTTTTTTTTTTTCTTCATCCCGGGAGTTTAGTTCTCGGAAACGGCAACGGGTACGGCAAAACGGATTTCACCATGTTTTCTAACCTGTGGAGAATTGTGGAATGAATGTAAAACGAAACTTTTCTGAGCAACATGAAGCGACGTTAGCAACAAACAGAAAATCGCCCCTAGAGGGCATGTTTATCAACCGATTTTGATCGGGTTTCTTTCATCGTATTTCTTGTAACAAATGGCAAATGATAGCAGTTAAAAATTTTCGATTTTCGAAAATTCGTTGCATACTTTTTTTTGCCGAAATTAATCGAAAAATACTATTTCGGTTGTTATTTGGCGGATTGACTTGAAACTTACATGGTGTAGACCGCCAGCAAAGTGGAATAAAAGCACACATTCAAAATTTGTTCATTCCTCCCGTCTATGTTAGTACTTCCGGTGGCGTCACTTCCGGTGGAATTGATTAATGTCAAAAGTAACATATGCATTATATTACCAGCCTTAATACAAACCTTTTAAATTAAAAAAAATCGTACCGGAAGTAACATGTTTGTCGCCATATTGGTTTGCCTCATTTTTGCCCAAATCGATTCCCAGAATTCATTTTTAATCCGATTTGCGTAATGTTTGTGTCAAACGATCTGTTTATTGTTTGTCTACAAATGATAGGGAGCATAATTTTGATTTTCGGTTTTGCCTTTTTTGTAGGACCGGAATGTTTTTTTCAAAGTTTGAAGGCGTATATCTCATGACCTTGACCTTTGATGACCTTCATATTTACTGTGATGATA